TTTCTCATAAGTTAAATATTGTTTGTTTTGGGTTAGTCTTATACATTCTAATTTTAAGTAAGTTTGAATAATTAAATTTTCGTTGTGTTCATTGAAATTGCTGTGATTTGATCAGCCGAACTGGTCACGTTTTATTGCATTCATTTCCCAATGAATGTAAAAAATTAAGCCACGCCCACCGAGGCGCACTACTTTTATTACTTCGGAATGTCGGGGAATCCCAATATTGCAGTCGAGGGAATTCACTTTCTGCTCACGTTTATCGCCATGCACAAGACATTTAGCGACTTTCATGCATGTTCATTGTCCAAACAGTCCTTTGAAACCGGGGATGAATGAAACCGCAAACGTGCAGGCTCGCTGGCCTATTTTTTTCTGCTCGCCTCGGTTCAACTTTCATGTCTTCGGTTTCATTTCTGACTAGCATTTTTCCTACCGTGTTTTACCGTAATCAGGGAAGGTAACTGACCATATTATTATTTGAAACAGCCGCCTTCTCCCGGACATATTTCTTCAGTCTGACTGTTGCAGTTCTTTTCGCATCTTGCCTTAATTGACAGGTCCAATGAACATGGTTTTGATCCTACTCTCCGTTGATTGGCTAATGACTGTGAAGGCGCGTCAAGTTATGTGCATAAATTAAACGATCACCTGATTCATGTCACGCCACAATATGTATTCCTACACCTGGAATGTTTATCAATCTCGTCATTTTTGGTCTGTTTTGATAAATACAACTGTTTTTGGTTAAACTGTTGTAGATAAAACATGTTTTACGTTGTCGAATTTAATTATAAGCATTGACTGTGGATTGTTTCGGTTCATTTAGGAGATAAATATTTCGTTTTGTAAGATTTGCGTGATGTTATGCTGAATGGATGTACGGAAATTTCATTTGAACACGACGCCGTAATGAAAAATTTCCGTACATCCATTCAGCATAACATCACGCAAATCTTACAAAACGAAATATTTATCGACATTGTAACATGAACGTTAATTAAATCGATATTTAGGAGGAACTAATTTACTGAGCGCATGACACAACAAAACTGTCGTTCGCAATACGTCTCCTCGTGCTCACCTTCGAAAGGATGCATGATATGGGGTGCCGCGAAACCGATCAACGGTTTCGAGGTACTCCAATAATGATGGTTCATTTTACGAAAGGGGTGGCCACATGTTCAAGCCCATTTCTCAGAAAATAAACAAACAACAGGAAATATCACAAATTCAATTCTTTATCACAGTTCCTCATCTTACTTGTAATTTGTAGTTATGCGTATCTATAAAATACAAATAATCAAAATTAGAAAAGCCGTACATACTGTTTGGCCCCTATACAAGAAAGTGTCAACTCGCTGAGGTATTGACAAGAGAGGTCAAACATGTGCGAGATTTTAGACATGCAGCTTAGCTGGGATGGAAAAAGTTGTTTACTGTCACAGTGGAGTTACATATGTGAAAGAGACCATGGGAATTAGCAGAAGAATTAACCTGGAAGTTATTCACGGGAGCAGTGGACAGTGGCAGGATATTTGTATCTTGGACAGGTACCAAATTACGTTCGTTAGCGAGCTGCTGCTGTCCCTGAAGAATGTTCGAATAATGTCGTTTTTGAGCCGAGCTCGAGTCAATGGAATACGACTTCAACGATTCATCGGTTTTGTGGCCGGTAATTTTGCAAATCTCGCGATTTTCAATGCCTGCGTTTGACAGCAAAGTAACAGCAGTTGCCCGAAGACAATGGTTTGTATACACTTTGAGACCAGCGTTGGTAGAAATTTCTTTCATCATGTTGCCAATGACATTTACACCAACTGGCCTCGTGGTGTACCATTCGGTGTCGTCGACGTGGACTCGTCTCTTGGGAGCCTGGTAAAAAGCTCCATTGTTGGGATTGAGGAGAGACATGTATTTTTTTAATGAAAGTACAGGACAGAATTGGTCCGATGTTGCATAAATGCGTTTGTTGGGCCCATTTGAGTCTTTGAGGTCCCCCCTGTGATTTTTTGTGACTTCGGAGTGTGTCATTTCAATAAACTCGAACCTCTGTTCATCGGTGGATACACGAAAGGAAGATGCAGTTAATTCCCTTTGGTTTTCTTTACCATGACGAGCGAAACCGAGTGTAAGGTCGAACCACACTTTACGAAGCAAGCCGGAAGGAGTTTCCGTATCCAAACTTTCACGAATTTTTTTTAAATCATTCTCGGGGATAGCAGCATGATGTGTTGCCTGGTCAAGGCCATCGCGCTTTAGTTTTTTTATCATGGACAGAAAAACATTGTTTGCAGTGTGAAATTCCCGGTCTTAGATAATGTTTATGCTGCGCTCAAATGGCGGTCCCCTGATGTGCCTGTGTATGGCAGCACGCAACCCAACAAAACTCGATTTTGAGTAAAGATCTCCCTCCGCATTTCTGACTTCGGAATAAAAGAACCTCAGTCTCTCATTCAGTTGAGAAGCAGGAAGCTCTTCGAACTTGGGTTCAAAACCTCGGAAACCAAGCAATTCTGGAAGTGAAAAAGATTGCCTTGTTCAGGGTACAAATGTGACAGTAAGTGGGAGTAATTTGTTATTAGGACCTAGTCCTATTACGGCGTCGTGTTCAAATGAAATTTCCGTATATCCATTTAGCATAACATATCTCAAATCTTACAAAACGAAATATTTAATTTACGTTAAGATTTTGGTCAATCTCGTTATATTATTGCCATTTTTTGCGATGACACATTGGTCACGCTTTACATTGCTATCATGGCAATGGTGTAAGGGAGGTAACTGTCGCTGATGTTGATCGAATCTGCGTAGGAATTTTAGGTATGTGTTTATGTATTCTTTTATGTTTCAATGGCTTACGTCGAAATATTTTAACTCCCCAGGAGGTATTACGCCCAGTAGATTTGGAGAGGTTCCCATCCACGATGTCCTGTACTGCATTTGCATCAAGGGACGCGAAGTGGTCACTGGACGCTTGAACTTTTGGCTCTACGGAAACGCTGGCTGTATTTCCTAGTTCAGGGGCCATCTCAGAACGGTTTCCAGCTTCAACAGCTGTTGTGAGTAATAATAATAACAAAAGTAGGTGGGTGTATGAAAGTCATTACTATTATAGAGTTGCAATAGATGTTTTTACTCTGTTAAAAAATGAATTTCTTTTCTTTTCCCTTTGGCCAAGCCCAAGAAAATTACATCATTTATGATTATGATTGGGTAATTAATGAAAATAGGTAAATTTCATTTACCTTCAAATTCTTGAATTATCTCAGAAAATGTCTCGTCGTCCCAATCACTCAATATTTCATCGAAATCTCCGATGTGGAAGTCAGGGTAAATTTCCATCTGTTCCTCCATGTTGATGATTTCAAAAATAGTTCCATTAATTAATAAATACATACACGGTGATGAGACCCCAAAAATTCAGCGATGTTATGCTCATTCGACAACACTTTTTAACCAATCAGATCAGAGAACATACCTACTTTTATGTTACAATGAGGTATTAATCAAAAAATCGATGTGCAAATTTTTGTAAGAATCCGGTATCTGAAAATTGAAGCTAATATAAGGAGATTTCCGGATAAATGTGGAGGTAAAGATCATATACTTGTATTTTCGAGACAAACGTTTTATTAAATGTTTTATTTTTAATAACATCCTCACATTGAAAAATCCTAACTCCCCAGTGTGTTTGTCCTAAGGGTTCAGACCGCCTCCGTGGACTAGTGGTAGATCTAGAGCGTCCGCCCGGAGACCGTAAGGGCCGGGGTTCGATCCCCGACCGCGTCAAACCAAAAGACGTTAAAAGATGGTACTTGTTGTTACCCTGTCTGGCGCTCGGCATTAAGGGGCTAAAACAAGGAGTGTGCGGCTCAGAGTCAGTATACTGTGTCTGAGTGGGGTATTCATGTTAAACTGCGGCATGGTATCTCAGTGGGCTAGCACTATAAATCGGCATCAGTCCGGACTAGTACAAGCAGCCACACACACACACATACACGTACATGCACGTCGCTATGTAAGTGCAATAATCTTGGACGCGACTTTAAACCCCATTTCACCTCACCTCACCTAAGGGTTGATTTGGGTCTGCCATCCATACCAGTCTCGTCTATTGTTGGAAAACGACCCAGGGTTCTCTAGAAGTAGTTTGATCTCTTTTGTCTATGGGAACAGTTTATTGATTTGTGTTAGAGAAAATGTTGTTTCACGAGATAAATTAATAAAAAATAAATGTAGATCTACACTGTTGGCTATCTATAAACAAAACTTTGGTAATCAAGGTAATCAGTTGTTGGTAATCAGTCATTTTTGTTTCAATAATTCTACACTTTTATCTTTTGTTAGCGGTAGTCGCCTTACCTAAGTTCATGTCAACGACGATTATTGATGTTTCTTCCTTCATCGGTATTGTTGGTGCAGATGTTTGTTGTTCATCGTCTGAAATGGAATGTTCTGTGATTTCGAAGATTAAATGAGTTCAAAAATGATGATGTACTTTTGTTACATTATTATGAATGTGTTGATAAGGTAAGGCCTACACATTTAAACAGACGAAATTTTCGTTCGATTTATATATTTTCACGATTGTTATCATGCTGAAGTTTCTGGATTTCATTCACATGAACTGTTTAGCTTGGAGAGGGTTAAACTTATCACTGAATTCTGCCAAGTCCGGACCATTTACATTGGCAAAACTGCTGCTTTAAAAAAATTGCGAAATCTACCTGGTAAGTTGTCAAGAAAGTCGTTATGGGTAATAATCAAATTTGATAGGCAAAGGTGCAGTGTGAACAGCACAGCACATATTTAACGGCTATGGGGCATGTAGGATGAATATGACGATGACGTGAAAGGTGTATACTTGTCGATGTGTCTCACCTGTCGTGTGCCCCGAGGTGGGATAAATGTCCCGATCCTCGCTCTGTAGGTGTTAATAACTTCTTAATTGAAACAAATTTTTATCTCCCAAATCAACAGCATGACAAAGTAAGATATGATCATGACAGTTTAATATTTTCCTAATATTTTCGTTCCTATAATTTGATACTGCCTGTGTTCCACGTTAGATCCGACAGACGTCCGCTGATTGGGCTGCTGGCCTCCAACATAGATGTTCATCGCACCTGAATTGAAAACCGACACATGTCTCTCACCGCCAGAGTACTGTCACTATAAGACCCGTGATGATTCCGGGGTAGAATAAGTCTTTAGCAACCCATGCTTGCCGTAAAAGGCGACTATGCTTGTCGTAAAAGGCGACTAACGGGATCGGGTGGTCAGGCTTGCTAACTTGGTTGATGCTTGTCATCGATCCCAATTGCGTGGCTCGATGCTTATGATATTAATCACTGGATTGTCTGGTCCAGGCTCGATTATTTACAGACCGCCGTCGTTTAGCTGGAATATTGCTGAGTGCGGCGTTAAACAACAAACAAACAAACAAACAAACAAACAAACAACTGTCAATATAAGCGGTAAACCATTCCATAATCACGGGAAATCTCTGCTAAAAGCATAGCCAGTTGTACGATTCCGACTATATCAAGTTAACAATAACTACGAAATTCATTTGCGTACAAAGAAGCGAATTTAACTATTTTGACTAACATAATGTGTGGACGACTCGGTGGTTTGGTTTGTTTGTTGTTTAACGCCGCACTCATCAATATTCCAGCTATATGACGGCGGTCTGTAAATACTCGTGTCTGGACAGGACAATCAAGTGATTGACATCATGAGCATCGATCAACGCAATTGTGATACGATGACATGCATGATATATCGTGATGTTGAAGGGGCGGGACACAGAAGCTCATTTACCCGGCACAGAAAACATTATTGCATTTAGTGATCAAGTGTACCTGGAAGAACCGCCCATCCATCGTTATCTGTCCACACAGCCATCTTCTTGGGGTCCAGTGTGAACTCATAGACCGCCGACCTACCGGACGCAATGAATGTCCTGGTGAACCCTACCAGTTGAATTCTGGGTACAGGAAGTGAGGTATTTTGCCACGACATATAGGCCTGGGAGACCTGCAAAGTCAACAAGAGGAACAAGTTTCATTCACGACTATCAACAAGTTGATGATGCGGGCAACAGCAACGCTTTGGAAATATTTATACAGCAAAGTACGGTTATAACGAACACGCTTATAACGAACTGACGGATATAACGAACTATATTTTTGGTCCTGTCTATTTGCTGTATATATTCCGTACATTTGCTTATAGCGAACTACGGTTATAACGAATTAAAATTAGTGGTCCCTTTGAGTTCGTTATAACCGTAGTTTACTATAGTATACAACATTATCAGTTTCGTCACGATACTCCTACTGATCTCCATTCGATGGCCATACAATAGCTGGTTTGTTTAAAAGTGGAACGTATCTTTTATGTTGGAAACATAATCCCAAATAATAATTGTACAGTAAACTACGGATATAACGAACTCAAAGGGAGCTCTAATTCTAGTTCGTTATACCCATAGTTCGTAATAAGCATGCATACAGTATATATACTGCAAATTACCGGGACCAAAAAAAGGCAGTTCGTAATATCCGTCAGTTCCTTATAAACGTAGTTTACTGTGTATGTTTTCCTGAAGTCAACTAAACACTTAACACGAGTGAGAGTGAGTGAGTGAGTGAGTTGTGTTTAATGCCGCTTTTAACAGTATTACACTTATATCACGGCGTGTCAGCTTAATGTTGGAGGAAAGCCCGAAGTGATGCAGGTCTCAGACGTTTACCACTTCGGTGAAACCCATGAGCACGGGTATGGTGCTGACAAACCTAGAAACATAATCGGGGCGACCCGGGATTCGAACCCACAATCATAGGTTTCTGGCGTGCCAAAGGGACGCAACTCTGCACAGCGAATCGCTGCGCCTTAGACGACTGGGCCACCCGTGCCCCCTTCATGAGTGAGAGAAATTGTACCTGCATAAAAAGGGCGCCAGAGGATCTACATGAAAATAATACTGATATGATATGTGGACGATTCGATGGTTTGGTATGTTTGGTTTGTTTGTTGCTTAAAGCCACACTTAGTAATATTCCAGCTATATGGCGGCAGTCTGTAAACAATCAAGTCTGGACCAGACAATCCAATGATTGACATCTTGCGCATCGATCTACGCAATTGAGATACGATGACATGCATCAGCTAAGTCAGCGAGCCTGACCACCCGACCCCGTCAGTCACCTCTTACGGCAAACATAGTTGCTAAAGACCAATTCTAACCCAGAATCTTCACGGGACTGAAAATAATAGCAAAACATACATTAAGCAAGGTAGCATGTAGCAAAGAATAGGACCATAAGCACTGTCTCAAACTCACATGCTGCCTGTTGCATTTTTAAAAAACTGACCTCATCAGAGTCATATGACCCTGTGCTGTAGACAGTCACCTAATCTTTGTGTATACTCTACGTAAACTGACCTCATCAGCGTCATATGACCCTGTGCTGTAGACAGTCGCCTAATCTTTGTGTATACTCTATGTAAACTGACCTCATCAGCGTCATATGACCCGGTGTTGTAGAGAGTCACATAATCTTTGTGTATACTCTACATAAACTGACCTCATCAGAGTCATATGACCAAGTGTTCCAGACAGTCACTTAATCTCATCAGCGTCATATGGCCCCGTGTTATAGAGAGTCACCTAATCTTTGTGTATACTCTACGTAAACTGACCTCATCAGCGTCATATGACCCGGTGTTGTAGAGAGTCACCTAATCTTTGTGTCTACTCTATGTAAACTGACCTCATCAGCGTCATATGGCCCGGTGTTGTAGACAGTGACGCTACACCACAGCCCCTCCCCGGCCATGACGGTGATGTCGCAGGTAAAGTCAGCATATCTGAACGTCGTGTACGACAGGCCGTAGCCGTAGGGGAAGGCAGGCTCTCCATCAAAGTACCAGTATGTCCGCCCAGCCATGGAGTAGTTCACCATGGGCGGAATCTGCAAGGGGAGATTTAGAGAACTAAAACCATGCAGTGTAAACGGTAACTGATCTCCTGCTTAAAATGAAATTGACAAAGTGTTTGCACAATGTTGTGTCTTCGATAGTTGTCAGGGTTGGTATAATCAATAAAATGATAAAACCAATACTATCAACTCGTTCCTTCGTTCGTGAGTATTTCCATACGGATGGTGTTATGTGGCAGTAGGTATCAGTAGCAGTGGTGGTGTCAAGTGGTCAGGTGCAACAAATTGACTGAGTCGCTCGTAAAATATCAAACTCTGATGTGGCCAGATTTCAGCGGTCTGCGGCAGTAGGAGTACTTTTGAGTTATCTGCCTTTGCTTATCAATAACACAAGGCAGCTGCATTATTCGAGAAGTTTCGCGATGTGTCAGTTTTGTAGAAGACTGGCTGTACCTACACACAAGCCTCTGTACAAACCGATTTCAGTGTTAACCAGTTATAATTGAATTTTCGTTGTGTTCATGAAATTCCTGCATTCTGATTAGATGAATTGGTCACGTGTTATTGCATTCATTCCCCAATGAATGTACGACAGTTCAAAGAGAACAACTTCTAGGCTATGGGTCGGGTTAGCTGACACTATGACCGGCTTATCAGTCATTGACCACAACAAGGTGTATAAACTCTCACCTGGCTTTCACTGCTCGGCCATGTGAAGGGCAGTCTGGCGGCTGGCACAGACCCCACCCCAAGGTTGGCCAGAGAAGACAAAATGGCGTCACCTGCTGCTTGAGCCGGATAGAAACATTCCAAAATGGCGACGACGCGTGGGTTTGCTGTCGCCCATCCGATGTTGAGGGGGCCGCCGTTGATCAAAAGCAACACGACGGGCTTGTCGGCTAAAATCGAAAGGAGTGCTTGCATCGTAAAGAGAGACGTGTAATCGATGACCTTGATCAGAATTAAAGAATAACAATCAGCAGTAAATCACCATAATGTTTACGATAATGACATAAATTAGATTTGAAACTCATAATATATTCAAAACTGTGAACTAAAACTAAATCGAGAAAATAAGAACCGTTTTTAAAACAATCAGACAATAATGGCTCTCCTACTGTTTGTTTGATTGTTGTTTAAAGCCGCACTCAGAAATATTCCAGCTACAGGAAACTACGGTTATAACGAACACGCTTATAACGAACTGACGGATATACCGAACTTACTTTTTGGTCCCGACTATTTTCTGTGGTTATGCTGTATATATGCTTATAACGAACTACGGTTATAACGAACTAAAATTAGTAGTCCCTTTGAGTTCGTTATAACCGTACTTTACGGTACATGACGTCGGGTTCTCCTACTGAGGTAACAGTAATACCATAATGTCATCAGTATAAATCCTTCCGTGACCACGACTGGTTGAAACAATAACGTTTCGAGGATCTGAAGCTTGTCTGAATATACTAGAATATTTACTAGATCACAATATTGGAAGCAGATATACAATACAACCAGGTTTATATGGAGGCCAAGCTGTGCCAAATATCAAAACACTGGACAAAACCTCATGCTTATTACATCTGACAATGATCTATGCAGACGGGCGTATTTTATAGTAGCATCTTTTTTCCGTGAGCATTCAGGCAAAACGTCAGCTAATTTGGTACAGTAAACTACGGTTATAACGAACTCAAAGGGACCACTAAGTCTAGTTCGTTATAGCCGTAGTTTGTTATATGCATATACACAGCATAACTACAGCAAAAAGTCAGGACAAGAAGTAAGTTCGTTACATCCGTCAGTTCGTTATAAGCGTGTTCGTTATAAACGTAGTTTACTGTATTGTGGTTTGAAATGTAAATGTTGATGACGTTGCAGTATGATATGAGCTCGCATGATCCTCCTGCTTAACAATAAATGTATGATATTACTTTATTAATTCCTGCAATTGAACACCTCTTTCGTGGATATTGACTAGTGAGTGGGTGAGTTTGGTTTTACGCCGCTTTTAGCAATATTCCAGCAATATCACGGCCGGGGACACCAGAAATGGGCTTCACACATTGTACCCATGTCGGGATTCGAACCCGGATCTTCGGCGTGACGAGCGAACGCTTTAACCACTAGGCTATTGACTAATTAGGTTTAGTATCTAACAATCAACAACAAACAACACATATTCAAAGTTTGTGACAACACAATGGCATGCTAATTTGAGAAAAATGAACATTGAAGTTTTAAAAAATAATAATTTAAATGTATTTAAGAGCCATGTCCCCCTGTACCAACAAAGGATGGTGAGCGAAGGGTTAACATATTTCAGTAAGTTAACTGAGCAAAATAACTTCTTTCCAAAACTTGCGAAGACATGAAAACTTTATGGATAGCAAGTTCTTTATTCTTTTACCGGTGAAGATCGGGGTCAGAATAGATCTTCAGCAACCCTTGATTGCCGTTAAAGGTGTCTTTGCTTGTTGTAAGAGGCGACTAACGGGATCGGGTGGTCAGGCATGCTGACTTGATTGATGCATGTCATAGTACCCCAATTGCGTGGATCGTTGGTCATGACATCACTCACTCGAATGTCTGGTACTCGATTATTTACGGACCGTAAATGTAGTTGGAATATTGCTGAGTGCGGCAAACAAACAAACAAACAAACAAACAAACAAATGGAATGACGTTTCAGGGTTACTTCTTGCGCCTTCATCAGGGGAAAACACACGAATGGGAGAAGTTAGATCCAAACTGTTTTTCAGATTTAGGAAACTTTATAGGAAGAAAGATCGAAAGACCTCCCATGGCCACTTTGCGCATTTGACCTGACTGCCTCCGTGGTCGAGTGGATAGAGCGTCTGTCAGGTGGTTCGAGCCCCTGGCCCCTTCACACCAAAATACGTTAAAAGATGGTACTTGTTGTTGTCCTGTCTGGCGCTCGGCATTAAGGGGATAAAACTGGGAATGGTCGGCTGGGATTATGAGTTGGGTATCCATGCCAACCATCGGCATGGTATCTCATCATAAGTCCGGACCAGTACAAACACGTCTTCGAAAGGCATTTAAAAGTGATGCACATAAAGAAGAGAATTTATGGATGTCAACTTCTTTATTGTGAGGAACACAACGTTTCGGAGTATATACTTACTCCTTTTTTCACCCGATGAAGAAGTTGAGGGTTTTGTAGCGGAGGTTTATATTCGATGTATGATGCAGATGATGTAGATGATGCCTCACTGTTGCTGACGACGTCCTGAAGAAGCTGCAGTTGCTGTCCCGGAAGAGAGATATTGTGTCGGTCTTTATGAATGTCGATTTCTTTGAGATTTTGATCTTTTCAAGACATTTTACTTCGGGTATCTATTTTTTGTGGTTTTTGGTAACGTTTCTTTTGGCCGTCAGTATAGTTTCAACTTCCAGAGATAATTGACATTACAATAATCATAGTTTCATCTAAAAAAAATAATTGACATGACAAGTCTTTATAATTGGAGAGTTTATATTGTACTGATCAATTTTTTTACAATCAATAAGATTATAGCCATCGCCAGTTGAAATGAAATCATGAAATCTCGAGATGATTAATTGATGAAGATTGCTTCATGTTTGCTGATACCTATATTGTGAAAATTTACAGTAATGACAAAAAGTGCAAAGTTTATTTATTTTAAATATCCATTTTCCTGAAGATCAATTTCATCATTGAGATTTGATCACGTGATTAAAGTCCGACTGAGGATCGGCAGTCATGTGACTACGAGCGTCTATATTGATGTGCATGTGCAGCATTCCTGCATTGCCATTTAAAACTATGGCAAAGGTTCTTTTGGCTGCCAGTTTATTTCCTTTCCTTCAGTAGTGTTTTCGTTCAGTGTTGCTGCGGAGTTCTCACCTGTTCCTAGACACACGAACACCACGTCAGCTCCTTGCAGCGCCTTAACCACATCCGTCTTGCTGTAGTCTGTGCAGAAGGTGCTGGAGCAGCCGGCAGCGTGGGTGGCCGTAGTGCCCGGTCCGACCAGTCCGGACAGGGGGGAGGTGATATAGCGGGGGTCGGGACTTGGGGCGTAGTCACCAAACACCTGCTGGCTGTCATTTGCCATGGGGCCTACCACCTGGAAAAGAGGTTGGATCAGAATCAGTGACGAATCATGGGTTAAAGGACTCAACTCTTGATGAAATCGTGATGCGATTTGCCAGTATAATGTATGTAATGCAATAATAATATATATATGCAAAGGACGGTGCAGGTACCAGGGCCACTTGTACAAAACGATCTTAGCGCTAAGACTATTGTAAGTCTATGTTAAAGTATGGGAGTTAAGATCATCTTAGCGCTAAGATCGCTTTGTGCAAGTGGACCCAGATCAGTAACACTACCACAATGAACATGCATCAATGTATTTGTCGACACTATAACTTCACAATATACATATGTTTAAAACAAATTGATAAAGTTTGATTTCAATACTTAAGCATAATATTCATAGAGTCAATGGACATTGCCTTTGACAACCGTGTTTAATACAATTGATGAAAACTCAGCCAAACTTCGACTCTTTATTGACATGTGGTTTAATGAGTGAGTGAGTATGGTTTTACGCCGCTTTTAGCAATATTCCAGCAATATCATGGCGGGGACACCAGAAATGGGCTTCACACATTGTACTTTAACCACTAGGCTACCCGATCGCCCCTGTGGTGTAATGAGCTGCTTCCTCGGGTTTTTATAAATGATCCAAAACGCTTTCCATAATCGTAAGAAATCTCTGCTGAAAGGAGAGTTAATTGCCGATATCATAAGCAGGTGTTCATGAATCACCATCAAATTGTTTTGATACCCGGTGTTCGCGAATTGCATTTGTGTTTTTAAACCCTCTTGTTGTCCCCTACAGGACCATTTCCAGGTGTGACTTGAAGCATTAAACACCAGAAATGGGCTTCACACATTGTACCCATGTCGGGAATCGAACCCGGGTCTTCGGCGTGACGAGCGAACGCTTTAACCACTAGGCTACCCGACCGCCCCTGTGGTTTAATGAGCTGTTTTGATAACAGGTGTTCGCGAATTGCATTTGTGTTTATAAACCCTCTTGTTGTCCCCTACAGGAGCATTTCTTGAAGCATTAAACACGGCCGCATTTTATTTCTGTATGTATCCGTATTGCTAATGTCTTAAGAAATAGGAATGAGTTTATTGGTCAATTTTGAAGGAGTTTGAGCATTTCCGGATGTGACTTGATGCATTAAAAACGGACACATTTTATTTCTGTTTTCATCCGTTTTGAAAATTCTCAAGAAATTAGAATCAGGTTACTGGTCAATTTTGAAGGAAATATTTGAAGTATGTCCATAACATGCATTTCATTTAAGCTCGACATGTAAACAATTATAACTGAATTATACATTGTCTGGTTGTGCTGTGCTAAAAATTCACATACTTGTCAAGGGAATTGAAATCTAATTTCAGCAGTGTATTTTGCTTTTAGTCTTTACATCGAGACGTTGGTTCCTGACCTATACGTCTAATCCAGAAGTTACAATGAAACTCACAGCAATGTGGTTATAACGTGTCTTGATAGGTAAGACGCTATTGATATTTTTCAGCAGGACGAAACTCTTGATGGCTGCCTCTACAGCCAGCTGTCGGTGTGTGGAGCTCAGCACGACGTCATCAATGTCAAGGTAGTTGTAAGGGTTCATCTCCCGGGGGTCGAACTCTCCGAGTCTGAGTCTGGTGTAGAGGAGGGGTTTCATCTGCTCCCGGACAAAAGCCTCGGACACTTTGTTCTGATGTATGGCATCAACTGTAAAAAATAATATGGGAGTAAGATTATTTTTTATATTGTTTAACGCCGTACTCAACAATAATCTAGCTATATAACAGCAATATGTAAATATTAGCGTCTGGACAGGCAATCCAGTGATTGACATAACGAGTATCATTCTATTCAGTTGAGATATGATGACATCTATCAACCAAGTCAATATAAGAATACAGGAATATTCATGTCTGGATCAGACAATCCAGTGATTGACATAACTGGTCAGTATATTGGTCAGTCAGTAAGCCATACCCCTTGATCCCACTAGCCGCCTTCTCGCTGAAGAAGGTTCCAACAAGGATCTTCAAGGGCTAACCATATAATGGAACTAGCGCGAATTACCGAGTATTGTCCTGACTGAATTAATTATACCTGGGCAGGTAAAATCTAATTCTGAGTAAACGGTTATTCTAGATCTATTCTAGATCACATAAAGTCATTTTAAAGTCGTGTATCAGGTCACAAATCGAGACCTTATACAAGTCAATGTCAGAATGCCATCTGTGATGTATACAATGGTAAAACGTAATCTGTAAGTAGTTGTGACATTTCGTTAATACGAGATCATGTCGCGTCACAAGCAATGAAAACTAAAAATAGGCGTCTGTAATAGTAGTTTCTATAATATCTACGCCACTTTGGAAAAAAGGGCGGTAGGCTAGTCTAGAGGTTAAAGCGTTAGCTCGTCACGCCGAAGATCCAGTTTTATTTCCCTACATGGGTACAATGTGCGAAGGCCATTTCTGGTGTCCCCTGCTGTTATATTGCTGGAATATTGCTAATATCGCCATGAAACTAAACTCACTCTCGCTCACTCACAAAACCGCTTGCTTGTCTATAGTGTCTGCGATAAATATGTCTCTACGGGAAAAAAGCGGTTCAGTAATTCTAGCCATCGACAAAGATAACTCGCAAAGAAATATGACACCAGTCATAGTAGACATAGTGAGAGGGGGTGCGATTGGCGATTCTGTTAATTTTAATGAAACTCAAGATACGCCATATGTTCATTTTCAGACAGGCGTGATACGTTATTTGACATATAACTCCCTCGTCTTATATTTTACTGTCCACACCCTTAGACAAGCATCCACATCCTTAGACAAGCATCCACACCCTTAAACAAGCATCCACGCCCTTAGACAAGTATCCACACCCTTAGACAAGCATCCATACCCTTAGACAAGCAACCACGCCCTTAGACAAGCATCCACACCCTTTGACAAGCATCCATACCCTTAGCTAAGTCTCTTCACTTTGAGACATGCATCTAAACCTTGACGATTATTATTGTTTTCACTCACTGATAGAGTCATACACTCTTAGATCACCATCCTGCACCTCGAGGCCACACCCTCGTCTTATATTTTACTGTCCACACCCTTAGACAAGCATCCACACCCATTGGCAATTCTCTTCACTTTGAGACAAGCATCTAAACCTTGACGATTATTATTGTGTTCACTCACTGATAGAGTCATACACTCTTAGATCACCCTCCTGCACCTCGAGGCCACACCCAGCGTTCAGACAGCCTGCGGCGGCGTCGACGCTGTTGTTGAAGTAGTGCTGCCTCTGGATCATGTTGACGAGAGCTCCAGAATCTGCTGCTACGTATTCTGTGAAGTTCCACTCCCCTCTGACTATATCTGTCAGTAGCTTCTTGTTGGCACAGGCGGGGACACCGTTGATGCTGGAACACGGCAGGTAAATATATATATCCCTCCATTTTCTTCAAATAAATTTAGTCATACTGTCGTTAAAAATATTCGAAATTTTAAATTTTTTTTTTTTTTCAAGTATCAACACAAGCATCCACACCCTTAGACAAGCATCCATACAAGCATCAAGACCCTTAGACAGGCATCCACACCCTTAGACAATCATCCACACCCTACGGCAAGCGTCCACACCCTTAGACAATCATCAACACACGCATCCACACCCTTAGACAGGCATCCACACCCTTAGACAAGCATCCATACAAGCATGCACACCCTTAGACAGGCATCCACACCCTTAGACAACCATCCACACCCTTAGGCAAGCATCCACACCCTTAGACAATCATCAACACAAGCATCCACACCCTTAGACAGGCATCCACACCCTTAGACAAGCATCCACACAAGCATCCGCACCCTTAGACAAGCATCCAAACCCTTAGTCATGCATCCACACCCTTAGACAGGCATCCACACCCTGAGACAAGCATCCACACCCTTACAAAAACATCCATGCAAGCATCCACACCCTTAGACAAGCATCCACAACCTTAGACAGGCATCCGCACTCTTAGACAAGCATCCACACCCTTAGACAAGCATCCATACAAGCATCCACACCCTTCGACAAGCATCCACACCCTTACACAAGCATCCACACCCTTCGACAAGCATCCACACCCTTAGACAAGCATCCACACCCTTAGACATGCATCCACACCCTTAGACAGGCATCCGCACCCTTAGACAAGCATCCACACCCTAAGACAAGCATCCATACAAGCATCCACATCCTTAGACAAGCATCCATACCCTTCAACAAGCATCCACACCCTAAGACAATCATCCATACAAACATCGACACCCTTAGACAAGCATCCACACCCTTAGATAAGCATCCACACTCTTAGACAAGCATCCAAACCCTAAGACAAGCATCCACACCCTTAGACAAGCATCCACACCCTTAGACAGGCATCCACACCCTTAGACAAGCATCCACACCCTTAGACAAGCATCCACACCCTTAGACAAGCATCCACACCCTTAGACAGGCATCCACACCATTAGACAAGCATCCACACCCTTAGAAAAGCATCCATGCAAGCATCGACACCCTTAGACAAGCATCCGCACCTTAAGACAAGCACCCACACCCTTAGACAAGCATCCACACCCTTAGACAAGCATCAACACAAGCATCCACACCCTTAGACAGGCATCCGCACCCTTAGACAAGCATCCACACCCTTAGACAAGCATCCATACAAGCATCCACACCCTAAGACAAGCATCCACACCCATATACAAGCATCCACACCCTTAGAAAAGCATCCATGCAGGCATCGACACCCTTAGACAAGCATCCGCACCTTTAGACAAGCATCCACACCCTTAGACAAGCATCCACCCCCTTAGACAAGCATCAACACAAGCATCCACACCCTTAGACAAGCATCCGCACCCTTAGACAAGCATCAACACCCTTAGACAGGCATCCTCACACTTAGACAAGCATCCACACCCTTAGACAGGCATCCACACCCTAAGACAAGCATCCACACCCTAAGACAAGCATCCACACCCTTAGACAGGCATCCACACCCTTAGACAAGCATCCACACCCTTAGACAAGCATCCACACCCTTAGACAATCATCAACACAAGCATCCACACCCTTAGACAGGCATCCACACCCTTAGACAAGCATCCACACAAGCGTCCGCACCCTTAGACAAGCATCCACACCCTTAGTCATGCATCCACACCCTTAGACAGGCATCCACACCGTTAGACAAGCATCCACAACCTTAGACAGGCATCCGCACTCTTAGACAAGCATCCACACCCTTAGACAAGCATCCATACAAGCATCCACACCCTTCGTCAAGCATCCACACCCTTACACAAGCATCCACACCCTTCGACAAGCTTCCACACCCTTAGACAAGCATCCACACCCTTAGACATGCATCCACACCCTTAGACAGGCATCCGCACCCTTAGACAAGCATCCACACCCTAAGACAAGCATCCATACAAGCATCCACACCCTTAGACAAGCATCCATACCCTTCGACAAGCATCCACACCCTAAGACAAGCATCCACACCCTTAGACAATCATCCATACAAACATCGACACCCTTAGACAAGCATCCACACCCTTAGATAAGCATCCACACTCTTAGACAAGCATCCAAACCCTAAGACAAGCATCCACACCCTTAGACAAGCATCCACACCCTTAGACAGGCATCCACACCCTTAGACAAGCATCCACACCCTTAGACAAGCATCCACACCCTTAGACAAGCATCCACACCCTTAGACAGGCATCCACACCATTAGACAAGCATCCACACCCTTAGAAAAGCATCCATGCAAGCATCGACACCCTTAGACAAGCATCCGCACCTTTAGACAAGCATCAACACCCTTAGACAGGCATCAACACAAGCATCCACACCCTTAGACAAGCATCCACACCCTTAGACAGGCATCCACACCATTAGACAAGCATCCACACCCTTAGACAAGCATCCACACCCTTAGACAGGCATCCACACCATTAGACAAGCATCCACACCCTTAGAAAAGCATCCATGCAAGCATCGACACCCTTAGACAAGCATCCGCACCTTTAGACAAGCATCAACACCCTTAGACAAGCATCAACACAAGCATCCACACCCTTAGACAAGCATCAACACCCTTAGACAGGCATCCGCACACTTAGACAAGCATCCACACCCTTAGACAGGCATCCACACCCTAAGACAAGCATCAACACCCTAAGACAAGCATCCACACCCTTAGACAGGCATCCACACCCTTAGACAAGCATCCACACCCTTAGACAAGCATCCACACCCTTAGACAAGCATCAGCACCCTTAGACAAGCATCCACACCCTAAGACAAGCATCCACACCCTTAGACAGGCATCCACACCCTAAGACAAGCATCCGCACCCTTAGACAAGCATCAACACAAGCATCCACACCCTTAGACAGGCATCCACACCCTAAGGCAAGCGTCCACACCCTTAGACAATCATCAACACACGCATCCACACCCTTAGACAGGCATCCACATCCTTAGACAAGCATCCATACAAGCATCCACATCCTTAGACAGGCATCCACACCCTAAGACAAGCATCCACACCCTTAAACAAGCATCCACACCCTTAGACAGGCATCCACACCCTAAGACAAGCATCCACACCCTTAGACAAGCATCCACACCCTAACTCAAGCATCCACACCCTTAGACAAGCATCCACACCCTAAGACAACCATCCACACCCTTAGATAAGCACCCACATCCTTAGATAAGCATCCACAACCTTAGACAAGCATTCACATCCTTAGACAAGCATCAACACAAGCATCCACACCCTTAGACAAGCATCCATACAAGCATCAACACCTTAGACAGGCATCCACACCCTTAGACAACCATCCACACCCTAAGGCAAGCGTCCACACCCTTAGACAATCATCAACACAAGCATCCACACCCTTAGACAAGCATCCACACCCATAGGCAAGTCTCTACACTTTGAGACAAGCATCTAAACCTTGACGATTATTATTGTGTTCACTCACTGATAGAGTCATACACTCTTAGATCACCCTCCTGCACCTCGAGGCCACACCCAGCGTTCAGACAGCCTGCGGCGGCGTCGACGGTGTTGTTGAAGTAGTGCTGCCTCTGGATCTTGTTGACGAGACCTCCAGAATCTGCTGCTAAGTATCCGGTGAAGTTCCACTCCCCTCTGACTATATCTGTCAGTAGCTTCTTGTTGGCACAGGCGGGGACACCGTTGATGCTGGAACGCCGCCGTAAAAGGCAACTAACGGGATCGGGTGGTCAGGCTCGCTGACTTGGTTGATACATGTCATCGATCCCAATTGCGTGGATTGATGCTCATGATATCAATCGCTGGATTGTCTGGTCAAACCAACCAACCAATCTTTCGTGATTTCAGTCTTTCATTTTTGAAATTTTGAATTTAGAACATGGTTTAAATATTTTTCAAAGCGTGGTCTAAAAAGGAAGCGGCCAGTTTGAATCTAGTTCCGTCTAGCTCAAGAAAGCTGCTTTCTGATTGTCAAATATAGACTTCTTGTTAGTCATTTTATTGGTCAGTCAAAGTTCACGAAAAATCTTTCTGACGTGACCTGTAATAGGATGTCCTCAGATCTTTGTTTGGCGGTAGCAAGAACTAAGATCTGATTTTGATGAGATCAAACTTGTAGCCAAGAGCGTCGGGCGTGCATCAATGGATCCACACTGAGACGGGCTAAAACTCTGTGACATTGCACGTGTTATTCCGTGAATTTATTTCATGAATAAAAACGAATAATAAAAGCAGATAGTACGAATAAATGGTCTTGAAAACTAAAAAAGCCATTCTTGAATAACACATTGAATGTAGTACTATGGAATTAGCACGGAATAATGTTCCTAAGTTTGAAAAAAAGAAAAAAAATTAAAACGTTGATTGACACAAACAATATCACCAATAAGAAACATGATTACAAAATATTATTGAAGCAGCTGTTAAAGTCTTCAAGGTTTGCTACACTAATTAGTTAGAAGCTAATATGAATTGCAAAATATCACATAATAACTATGTTACAACGACAAATGAAAATATGATGTCATTGAAACAGTCCATCTAAAATTATAGGAAGGACAGAGAAAGGGTAAAATAATGATATCAATTCATTGTCCACATTGCAAAAGCTTTGAGGGAACAACAGTGTCCTTTGTTGACTGCGAATTGATAAATGCTACGTAAAAGATAAACAGCAAACCTATGAAATATGTAATCTGGAATGGTAACTAAGACAAAATTGTTATGGATGAGCAACTTCTTTATTACAATTGGGCGACGTTTCGGTGTACATTCTACCATATATATCATGCTCATACCTAGTTTGTACATCATTTGCTTGATAACGGTGTTAGAATCTACACCGAAACGTCGCCCAATTGTAATAAAGATGTTGCTCATCCATAACAATTTTGTCTTAATATGTAATCTGTTCTCTATTTGGAAAACCCCAATAATGTATGACACTAGAGAAGCCATATAGGTAACCTAAGCATAACGTACGTGAAATCATTTGGTGTAGTGAATTTGAGAGTGGTTGATTTTCTTCTTGGGTTTGACCAAGAATGTGAAACCAGAACACACATATGTAATTATTTTGTAACCTAATAATTTTCAAGTTCAACAGTTCAAGTTAAAATATACATTTCACGTATTCTTCATAAATCAACGATACTGTTCTTTTCATTCAGATATGTGCGTTGAGGCCAACTCAGTATTTTCATTCATAGTAGCAACATATAAATTTCGGAACGACGGTATCTTCGAAATGCTCCTATGAATGAAAATACTGTGTTAAATTTCCAAAATACCCTGCAGGAGGAAGAACATTGTTTGATAGATCACGATTACAAGTAATAGACGGAAGAGTTATTAGATGTATGTTGGTCTGCTACTTGCAATGGAGAACTATTTAACGGTAATCAAACCTACATTTGTTTGAAACATTACAAGAAAGGGGCTCGTGTTACATAGCATGTAGTGCGAGTATGCTTGTAAGAGGGGACTACGGGATCGGTCAGGCTCGCTGACTTGGTTGATACGTGTCACCGTATCTCAATTGCGTGGATAGATGCTCATGATGTCAATCACTGGTTTGTGTGGTCCAAACTCGATTATTTTACAGACCGCCGTCAAATAGCAGAGTGCAGCGGTAAACAACAAAATATGTTCAATATGGTGATTGTTCAATACTTTGCTTCTGCAGGCGGCTCCAAAGATGTGTAGTCTGATTCTGAAAAGGAACGAGGTGGAGTAGTCATTAAACTGATATCCACAAACATCAAAGATGCCATGTGTGAAACGGGTTCTTAGTTTCCGTTATATGATTTCATCCTTCACACCGATAAAGTCAAGAAGATGTTGGGTTTTTCTGTCACAGTTTTTGTTGAAAATACACAGAAGAGAAATGACCTATACTTCAAGCCTTTGACAAACAGTTCGCTATACATGAATATTGAATGTTAGCTGAGTCTTACCAGCAGCGTACTGAACACGCCCCTCCCTCTCTGTCATCTCGCTCCTGTATGATAACAAAGAGTAGAACTGTGTTATGGTATTTGTAGCATTAAGACTTCGCCTCTAACTAGCCCCCACTCTGTGTTGTGGGGCATGCTATCTTGAGGCCATTACTCTGCTTTTACAGGGTCACTCTCACGCAATAATATCCAAGAGTGTTATTTAGCGGCTGGAAATGTAACTGAGCAAGAAATAATATGGATGACCCATATCGTTATTACAACTGCAGCAACGTGTTTGCACACATTATAACTTATTTGGATGTATGATATTAAAGGGGGAAGATGAATTGAAAAGCGATATTGCTCGCAATCATACCTGTTTATGCCATCCCCCTTCGTCTCTACAAAGGGAAAGAAAGAAAGCATTTGTAGAATGTGTAGACAAACAAAGAAACATAATCAGTAACAATCCCGGATTCGACCCCCCCGGTCATAGGTATTGGTCAAGCTTAAAGACTGCATCTGTGTATAACAATTACTGGCACGATCCGTACCTACAGTTGAAGTGGAATTTATATTTTGGGTGCTCTCTGTGAACATGTTATTAATTAAGCTGATTCTGGTTCCAATGTAACATTTACCGATATGACAAACATCAAAGCCAAAGAAAAACCAGTCCAGCGTAAAAGGTAAAATAGCGGTGAAAACCTTTCAAAGCCTTTCTCATCCTGATGACGACGACAACCAGGACCACTGTTACGACAAGGGCGACAACTCCAAATGCTATAAGTATGTACAAATACGTATTGTCATCTCTTGTTTGTAATGGTGTGTTAGTTGACATCGTCTCCGTGCTCCTCTCTGTTCCCGTGACCCCTGGAAGGACTTGTGGCTGATCTAAATCGAGAATAAATATTATAGTTTATCATTTATTCCATTGACATATACATATCATTTAGAGAGGAAGTATTAGGTGCTTGCTAATTTTCAGCAAAAACAGCATTTATGGAATACCTTGCACCTATCTTGAAAATTAGCCCTGCATTTGTACAGAGACACAAACGCATGTTAACCTGAAAAAGAGGTTGCTGAAACACAAGTCATCAAACGTAAGTGAGAGGTTTAGTGGCAAGACTCGAAATTGATTTATTTTGTTTGATAGGCATTACTTAGAAGTTGACGGATGACAAGATAGACACAATTTTATGGATAACAACTTCTTTAATACTGCGAAAAGCGACGTTTCGGTATAGATCCTTATACCGTTGTCAAGCAAGACTGGAGTCTTACGTTTCGGTATAGATCCTTATACCATTGTCAAGCAAGACTGGAGTCTTGCCTGACAACGGTATAAGGATCTAAACCGAAATGTTGCTTTTCACAGTATTAAAGAAGTTGTTATCCATAAAATTGTGTCTATCTTGTCGAAATTGATTGTACATGTATATGCACATAATCCATGTATCTCCCATATACGTAAAGTATAGGAAACAATTGCAATATCTATTTTCTGCCAGTATACAATTCAATTCATAATTTGTAAGATGATTTTACCAGAAATATTTCGAATACAACAACTAGTTTTAATAAAGCATAATATGAAAAAGGGAAGTCAGTGATTAAATATACCAAGTTTAACAAACCTCCAATAGTGACCAGAACATCTCCAAATCCAATTCCTGACTCCTTTGCTCCGGTTGTACTTTCCATCTTGTTGATGGCTGTACACTTATACCGCCCGGTAGTGCCAGGTCCCACAGCCGTCAGTGTCAGGGTGGGTTGTGTCCCTTGCTGCACACTATCACCTCTTGAGTTTGTCCAGATATACAGGTGGGGGGCAGGGTTGGAGTCGATGCTGCATGAGATGTTGATGTTTTCCCCCTTGATAACTACATACTCTCGAGGACAGGACACAGTGGGTTTATCTAAATATAAATTTAAAATAAAACATCAACTGACACAACCTAGTTGTATAATGCAACATTGATCTATCGCAGAGCAGAAGCATAGGAGTACTTTGCAACATAATGCTATCTGGTTTGAGGAAATATTCTTTAGAAATGAAGATTCACTTGATTCAAGTTTAAAGATTCCAAGCCTGAATGCTGGTGGTCAACCAGTGTAATCATATCAGACTGTAAGCAAATAATATAAAGCCTTTTTCTTAACTTACAATGTTTATATTAGCTTATAAACGTACTCTAAGATTAGAGTATTAAAGTCATTGATTTAACCTCGTAAAAATAGTTTGCAAAGTAGCCTCTTTCAAATGTAAATATAAATTTTAGTTCCCCATAAAACAAAACAACTTCACGATGAGGTGGAGCTTCTGTTGAATTATTTGTAAATTTGAGGTTAAACCCACAAAGCTTTTGAACGGCCACGCTACTTTAGCAGCATCAACAAATATTAAATCATGTATCTGTTTGATAACTGTGTATCTCTAGCTCATTATATGAATGCTAGTTGTTGATACTTTGCACAACGCTCAGGCATTAAGAACAATGATGAGACATGTTTTGCTGACTTACAGAGGACGTCAATGTGCAGCAGCTCCTGGCCCCAGGCTTCCCTGACTACCCCTCTTGACGAAACCATTCTGTGGGTTATGTTCACAAGGAATTCGCCACCGTCCAAACGACTGATGTTTCTGTAGTTCCGGTATGCCTCGGTTTGATTCCAGGTCAGCCTCGTTCCGGCCTTACGTCATGTTGTTAGGTACGGGAGAGGGTTTGGCAGGTTAACCAATGACACGTTCACGGATGAATATTCTAGAATCTTGAAGTCAGAAGTCATGAACGACTCAGGTGGGTCTGCAACACAACAATGGGCAAAAGTAGTAGAGGAAGTTCGTGATGCGTAATGAGACTCAGTTGTTATGTTTGTCATTCTGTGCTTTGTACTGATGTATTTGTGTCGCAGCATATTCTTATAACAAGTCGAATGTTTGAGGGTACACATTAATCACTAGTAGTTAGAACAATAAAACTTTCTTACATAAGATATTGAGGAAGATGGACGCCGTTTCCTCATACTGCCAGTGTATGACAGAACAGTTTGCTTGTCCTCCGTACGATCTTCTAGAAGTTGACATACTTCTACAACAAGATGATCTCGCAGAGTAGCCATTTTGACGTACATCACAAGTTACACTCTTGGGTTGTGTGCCGTTTCCAGCGCAACAGTAGGCATACTCTTTCTCAATTATGTCAACTGTTTGTTGAGGACTGATCCACGTACTTCCATATCTAAACACAACTGGCAATTTCTCTGCAAGAAAAGGTAAAGATAACAGTACTGATAAAGACATATGATGCATTTTAAGAATCAGTCAACCATGTTAACTATTATTGTTTACACTGATTATTTTTCTAAAACTTAGGTCGTATTTCAGTCAGTAAAATAAAAGCAACAAGCCCCTCCCATACATATATATTTGAAATCTCTGCCAAAAGCAAAGCAAAAGACATACACAAATAAAAATATTAAGGGTCAGAGAAATGTTTTCCAAGATTCCTTGGTAATGGCCTCTTGCACACTGGTGGCAGCGAAGATTGCAGGAAGGTAAATACAAAAACAACAAAACTCTTTCCTATTCATAAGAAATACCTTGCCAAAACAGAGTCGATTGCACGATTCCGACTATATTAAGAGCATGTGTTTATGAAACACTATCAAATAGTGATGAGACCAAGTGTTCGCGTAAAGGTTAGCGTATCCTGCCCCACTAGTGACACAAACTCATGCAATGGCTACACAAACTCATGCAATGGCTAGTCAATTGTTCACCTGAATGACATAAGTGATTGTCACAAAAATGACACAAGAGTCATCGAACGCTTTTTAAAATCTTGGTCGAAAGAGCATGCTCGATTGTACCGCAAATGGTGTGAAATGTAGACAACCGGGCTTAAGCTGCAGGATTATTGTTCATCTTCAAGTCTGTCATATAGATGTAAATATATAACTGATGAAGCGGTCTCATGGGGTCTCCTTTATTTCTAGTTCAGGTTGGTAAATGAGGGGAATGGAATTGACTATTTAATGGTTATTTAGGAGATCAACCTACTGTGTTTTGAAATTTGATGTAGTCACACTGTTGAGTAGATGCCTCTAATTTTTACTTGGAACAGAGCGCTTTATCTCCATACTACCATGAAAGCAACACTGCTTTGTAAACGGTGCTCTCTTGCAACGCGTAACAATACAGGTTACAAAGGTCCGCAATCTTAGACCATTCTGGAAAGTGACCACAGGTAGTAATGTGTGTAACAAATAAGAATATAGTTCAACATTAAAATACCCATAGTCTTGAGAAGTTCAAAATAAGTGTTCAAAACGCATAGTCTTTCAAAACGAAGTTGACAAATAACCAACCAAACTTTGTCCAAAGATAGATGTTCTAATTTCAAAGCATCCTGCTCTGCACTACTTGGACTCAGCAAGTCATTTCTTGGAAATCTTGTATGCCAGTATCGGGGTGAGAGCTTGTAGAAATAGTTTTCAAAGCCTGTTTTTGAAAGCAATGAGACATGTGTTACTTAGAAACAGTGGTTCGTGTATGTGTGTGTCCTGAAATGAATTTCATAACATTTGATAAGGTGTGACTTCAGTGATGTCGGGAAATTGTTTTCGTCGCCTTTCGAAGGGACGCGTGTTTCCTGATGAACTTTCAAATCCCCTCCTGCCAAATCCTTACGGTGATGACAATGACTGTCGATCACAAACTGGTTTGTACACAACATGTTTTCATGAATATAGTTTCTCCAAACACATTTTTATAATGTTATATTTTACTTTCATTGTCGGTTGTTGCAATAACGAAATTGCCTGTTCCAAGTCTGTTTGTCATCGAAATGGTCCTAAACAGTTTCATAAACATTCGATTTGTATGCAAAAGTTATGCCTTCGTAAAGTCTTGTAATCCCATCATCAAAGCAGTCAGTGTCATGGCCTAGCCGTCTTTTAATTTCATGAGAGCTGTTGACTCAGCGTGTATTAGAGACCTGGTTTGTCTTAGAGACCCAGCATGTATGGAGGAAATATAGATACGTTTTACAGTTCATCAGTTTTACAGATCGATCGGCATCCATCTTTATCAAACGATATGTAGGCCATCGATGTATTCATACGCACATTTCTTTGGTGAAAAGGCTAGATATATTTGAAAGGGGTTTCAGAATTAAGCATTCATCAGTGTCATGGCAGAATAAACAACATCAGATCATCGATCTTCCTGAAGCTAAAGTTACACTTCTTGGCCAAATTACCTAGTTTTGGCTATGCCAATCCCAGCAGAAATTCCGATTCATGTGCATAAACAAACAAACTGGTGGCCTAGCGGATGCCTCCTTCTTGCCGAAATGCCTAACCCTCAAATCTTACATAGATTGTATCAATGAGGAAGTCCAGTACTTCACAAACTGTTTTCCTCAGTAAACTTATAGCATTTTCCTTAATTTTTGACAAATTGACCTGAACCTCTGAAGAAAGATGTAACTATATCTATGGTCACCACGTTTTGTAACAAAGCCCTATGGATCAAGGAATAGAGCTTTTCAATAAGTTTGTCAAATGAGATAGTAGTGTAAAATGTTGAAAATTCAAATGTTTTGACAAAATTGAACCTGGTTCTTTTCTGAGATAGTAAACAGTCAAGGAAATCCATTAAGTTTTTCGGAACCCACATGGTATTAATTCCACTTGTCTCAAATAATTTTTGTGAATATATAAAAAATTCTTCCTTGATTGTATTAAGGAGTATGGTTAATCGTGTTGGACCCAGCAATATGTTTTTCTTTGTACGGATTTTTATGGTATTTTTGAATACAAAAGAGGAATGGGCAAAAGTTTATTGTACCGAAGCATGTTTTTAAGTCTATCTAGGGTTTACAAATAGGGTTATTCATATGTTATTCAACTGTTAGTTTGTGTTTGATAGAACTGTCTATATGTTTAGAACAAAACACCACAGTGATATCAATAATGTTGTTCCTTATCCTGTTTTAGTCCACAAATGGTTCGTATATATCTGGTGTATTTCAACTTGAGATAAAACTTAATGTAATATAATATGCTTATGTCAAATAAATGATTAAATCATGCTCACCATTTGTGCAAATGATTGAAACAATATATGATGAGCTACGGCATGAGCTGTTCGGAACTGCTGGAGTCAAACTGCAGTCAAATATTGAGTTCTCGGTACCTGTGCAGGAGACATAGGACAGCAAGGGGTTGACTTGCGCTGTTCCATACACAGAACCGTAGACCCAGTAGGAATGATTTCTGAAGGCAATAAGAATATATATCGTTATTTCTATTTGCTTGTCCTGATTGCAATGTGATGACAAGTAAAATATATGTTGAATATATACTCTTAAAATGAAGAGGCACATGAAATATAAATGTCAATACCAAGCATTGGAACAAAGATAATTTTGACAACAAAAATCCTCTGCAAGAGGTTTATGTCTGTAAAACTCAACGCCAAAACACATCCAATAGTATGCATGTGCCGCACGAAGTAGTGACACACGTGTGATTTACTTGATTTTATTTATAGTTTGTGTATGAACTAACGATGCGGCGTCAGCAACTCGCGGAGCGTCCAACAGTTATCGGTATGCTGGAAACTGAGCGAAGTCAGTGCGAAGTGGCCAATAAGTGCAATGCGAACAGTCTGTGATGCAGACTATGGAATAGCTACCAACAAACCCAACATGTTGACGATAGAACCCGTTCAGGACGTCCTAGGTCAAGACAAGAGTACAGGATCGATTTGATCCGAAAGCAGCCTTTTCGAAATCGATCCAAAAAGGCGAATCCAATTGCTGCCAACTTTCATCAGGCTACTGGAGTACGATTAGAATTCGTATACATGCATATGCAGTTCAACTAAATGCTCGACAGCTACGTGTTATGGCGACCCGTACAAATCGTCATATTTTCTCTTGCATTGATAGTTTATATTTACTGAGCCGCTGCAAGGTTACGTCAACACGTGTGACCCACTTCAACTGACATTCTCGCTCTCGCTGATGTTGACTTATAAAATTGTTAACATGCATTTGTTATTGTAACTGAATCAATTGCATCAACCCGTTTCATACGTTTGGCATATTTAAGTACAAGTGATACAATATACTAAATTTGAATGGTAATAACGATCTGTTTCACACAATCAGATGTGCCGTGAAAAGGTCGCTTCTTTTCTGTTGCGTTGGGATACCTTTGTTTTGGGTTACAGGTGCTAGAAATTACGAAGGAGGTTGAGGGTTGGATCCAGTACTGTTTGCAGTAAAGTTGATTATGCCCACACTAAACTCGGAGAAAGACAAACAGTAATTCCTTGTAGCTCGTCGAGTGTCCCAACAACTACAATCTTGGAAATGTCCAGGTATTTCAGAGTTTCCTCTACTTGTTTTAAAAGATAAAAATCGTTAAATATTTGATGATTTAATACAGCCAATAATTATGTGTGACTGGGAACTTTGGGGAACCGTATATGGCAAAATTATTAAGAACATCCATATAACATTCTGCACATTTGCTTTTGGCCTAGGCTACCTGTTACAAAATTTTAGCATATGTGCAAGGTATCCGATATTTATAAACTATCAATGCAGAGTTGTTTTATATCCGATCCGCTTGCTACCTGATACGCGATACTCTAAACAACAAATAAAATTTTAAAAAGTTCGGTAAAATATTGGCATGTTGTGATTGGAATGTGAAGTGACAGAATTATTTATCTTTGATAATTTATCTTACGCGGGCTGGTTGAGAGATCTGCACACAACAGCAGACGCTTGGTTGGCAAAGTTGGATTGACAAACTGTTCCCCAGGTGCCATTATAATTGACCTCTAGACGACCTTCGCTTGGTCCAGGAACCAGTTTAATACTTTGTGATACCACGTTACCTGCAAAAGAGGAACACAGCAGTACATTATTCCACATCCTTTTAACCGAATGCCATTGTGTTACACATGCTGACATAATATATGTTTGGTTGGATATGAAATCAATAAGATATCTGACATATTTTTCAGGGATTTCTGGTGTCATGACGGACCGTCGGGATGAATGTACATGAAGATCAGGAAAAATTGTTTGTCATCTCAGATAATGGTGCAATTTGCTAAACGTAGTATCATAATCGTTCATCAATATCTGATAAGTGTTCTGTAGTTCCATAATTAAAACGTCTGCCCAGAGACCGTCAGGTCGTAGGTTCGATTCCCGGCCGCTCCATACCACGTTAAAATATGGCGCTCGGCATTAAGGGGCTAAAACAAGGACTAGTACAAGCAGTCACGCCCGACATTAAACCCCATTTACCCTCACCATAATTAAAACAGCAAGTAACGAAGGTTAGATTATGGAATATTGTAGTAAAACGTTTAAATACGGAAATAGTGGAATATCAGTTCGTGATCTGTGGAGAGCCTCAACTCTTGGTGGAATTACTATAACCTATATGTCATCATGACAGAAGTTACATTACGATATAAAGCAACCCATGCTTGCCTTAAAAGGCAACTATGCTAGAGGCGACTAACGGAATCGGGTGATGAGGCTCTCTGCATGTCATCTTATCCAAATTGCGTGGATCGATGCTCATGACACTGCAAACACGAAAAAGTCGTTTTTTTCGTATATGGTCATTGGACGGAAAAAAACCTAAAAATTCACGAAAATTGGTGAGCGTCTAGAAAGTGTCCGGAAAAGCGTCGAGTTTTTCAAGCGGAAAATGGACGGGAAAACGATGCTTTTTGCTCTGTCTTGTACATCTGTTAACAGCCAATGATATGGCGCTGGTCCCTGGCGCACGAGATGCCCAAGGCTTCCTTTAGGGAGCATTAGGTTTCTTATCTCTGGCATGCCTTGCTCTATTATCTGTCGCTCGCAGTGCAGCGAGATTTGCTGATCAGTCAGTTTTAGGATATAAAACCTGGTAATGGATTTCAGACACGCGCCAAGACGTCAAACCAAACCATATTACCAAGTTTATTGAGATAACCTCTATCGGATAATAGGTTGTGTTTCCTTTGGTTATAACAGTAACTAATTTTCATAGGACGAGAGGTGGTTCACAGAACGTTTTTTCACGTGACTGTATTCTTGAAATGACGTTAACACTGACTACTTCCACATTCCTGGGGAAAGCCCTGGGAATCCCCTAGGACGAATTCATACAGAAGCGTTGTTTCTCATCATTTAGAGCCTTTAATGTTGAACTTAGCGTCTTAGCATACTCTGGGATAAGTCATAGAGTTTGGTTGCATGCCCGTTTAAGGATACCCTGGTTACAACCCATCCTAGAAAAAAAAAACACCCAAAAATCGAATCGAGTGACAATCTACAGCAATCTATTAATTTACCTTAGTATCTATTGGACGCATCTTTACAATCACCATTCAATGATCGGCCAATTGATCACTGATGACAAAGGCTTGAAATCGCCATCGGATTATTACCCCTATCGAATAATGGGTTGTGTTTCATTTGGTTATAATAATAACTATTTTTTTAATGTGAAGTTTACAAGATATACGGCTAGGACGAGAGGTCGGTCACATGACGTTCTTCACGTGACTGTATTCTTGAAATGGCGTAAACACTGACTACTTCCACATTCCTGGGGAAAACCCTTGGAATTCCCTGGTACGAATTCATACAGAACCTCAGTTGCATGCCCGTTTGAGGATACCCTCGCTACAACCCATCCCAGAGAAAAAACAAACAAAAAAAACATCCAAACTATCGTAGTGACAATCTACAGCAATCTATGAATTTACCTTAGTATCTATTTGACACATCTTTACAATCACCTTTCAACGATCGGCCAATTGATCAGTGATGACAAAGGCTTGAAATAGCCACAGGTTAATTAACAACTTCGGAAATATCTCCCGTCACGTTCATCGTGTCGGCCATTTTGACGTATTGTACTTGATGTAAATGTGGTTACAGGCCGGCAAAGCCACATTTCGAAAATAGATAGCCCAAATTGATGTGGCTCTCGCGGCAATGGTTATGGTTGCGTGATTGTATAATGTGGCTCTCGCGGCTATGCTGTCAAAACATGCTTTGTGATTCTAACAGGTTACCGTATATAACAAAACAAGTCTTGTTTTCTCATTTTTTATTCAACAAGGATAACATATTCATCAAAACTTTACATTGATGAATATGAATAGCATATGAATATCATAATGGATTTAATGTCATTACTGCAGATGAAGGAGGTCGCCACGTGGTCAGCATATTCTATCTCACTCAGGTGTTGGTTCAGGAGCTGGATCTTGAGGGACGCAATACGTGCATCGATTGCCTTGTACTTCTTTCTCCGTGAAGGTTCTGACCACTGGTGAGAGAGTCTCAGGACTGCAACCTCTTTGAGTGACTGCTCTCGCTGAAATAGCTTCACTAACTCCTAGATGTTCGGGTGGCACTTCTTGGCAAGTTTCTTTATCTTGTTGTGCCACACTTCAAGGTGATTGTTGGTACGGTGGCCTTGGTTTTCGAAATGGTTCAAAATCTCTGGCATGAAGGCCCCTCCTTGAACCCAAATGGTTGTCACGTATTCCATGAAGGCAGTCACTTTAGGGCCAGCAGGAGAGTCAGCAATGGCATCAAGCCACACATCATCCACTTTGTCACGAGGTAGTAGAGGGAGGGCAGCAGCTCTTCTCACCAGCTTCTTCACCTCCTCATCTTCCTTATAGTCCATCACCAGACCTTGTGAGGGCAGTTACCTGTAGTGTGTTTTTTTTGTGTTTTTTTAGGTGGTTATTTAGGTTGGTGTGTCCTGTTTGGAGTTTAGTGATTACTCTGTCGATTTTTTTTATGGATGGAGAATTTTTGGTTTGGTTAGTGGTTTGCTGAGCACTTTTTTGATTTGGCTATTTGAGTTTAGATATAGGTTAGGCCATTTTTGTGATTTTTTGCTTGTTTACACTTTTAATTTCTGATTTTGAGATGGGTAAGTTTAAGCTTATTTCTGGGATTTTGAGGGATAGTTTAGCTGCTTTATCGGCGTTTTCATTACCGTATATTCCTACGTGGGCGGGTATCCACAAGAAGGTTATTTGTTTGCCTGCCTTGAGCTAAGCACACGCTGAAATGCCTCCAAGGCAATGCCTAAATGAACAGGCCTAAAAAACGACACACTGACAAGATCGTCTCATTGCACAAATTGCACTGCGAAATAGATTCACATCTGATGCTGTGTGCAATAGAGTATAATATAACAGAAACAATACCAGGAAGACGAATTTCAACAGCTATCGTTAAAAAAACGGATTTATGCAACCAGCCTGAATGCAAGGCGTCCTTTGAAGGATGTGACCCAAACAGCTTACCATAGGCGGCAAAGATTGGGGGTGGGGTGGGCTTGGCAACACCAGGGACGGGATGTGCGCCCATGACGTTACAACATGTTTACTTACATTCACAGATGGCAGAGCACGTTGTTGGCGACGAAGTGGCGAGCGTTATGCCAGGGCACAATTCTTTAACTTGACCAGTTTGAGGGTGGTTGAGTTATGGTGTGGGGCGGTATCACACATGACAGGCGAAGTGATTTGGTTATTGTGAATAGACATTTGACAGTCCAGCGATGTGTTGACGAAACGTCCGGTCGTTCCATTCGTTTGAAAAATCGGCAGATATGTTGAACTGCAAGATGACAATGCCAGACCATATCGTGCCAAGGTCGCCATCGATTATCTCAGACGAGAAGGTATACGGACATTGGACTGGCCCGGTAAGTAGCTAAGTCCCAGACATGTCACATCTGAAGATCCGGGGTAGAATAGGTCTTCAGCAACCATTGCTTGCCGAAAAAGGCGACTATGCTTGTCGTGGGAGGCGACTAACGGGATCGGGTGGTCAGGCTCGCTGACTTAGTTGATGCATGTCATCGATCCTAATGGCGTGGATCGATGCTCATGATATTAATCCCTGGATTGTCTGGTCCAGATTCGATTATTTACAGACCGGAATATTGCTGAGTGCGGCGTTAAACAACAAACCAACCAAACACCTCAGCATAGAGCATCTGTGGGACCCGGCAATATTGCCCAGCTTGGGGCAGCTCTCGGCTCAAACCTGGTATGTATATACGTTACCTAACAATGTAAATCAGTCCTGTTTGGCACAAACAGGTGTTTTTTCTGAGAAATAAGCTTAAATCGTTACTTTGTTTGCTACCTGTCGGCTGGGCGTTTTCAGCTTAAACAATTTTGGGTATCGCTTACGTTTCATGATCACCAACTGCGCAGTTGTATGTTTCATGATAAATGCCTGTTGGTGTCTATGAGTTTATCGTGAGTTTAAGTGTGTATGTTAATGTTATCTCTGGGGGGTAGCACATACCGAAGTCGTTGCACACAAGTAGTTGTGGGAACGTTGCAGCCTCACTGCATCACATCCGGGCTGTGTATGTGCAGTTGTTTTCGTCAAAGTGTGCAGGCATGCGTAATGTCTCTGAATTACATTATAGTTTAAATTGCATAACAAGAAGCTTGAATAACATTCTAAGTGTGCAGGCATGCGTAATGTCTCTGAATTACATTATAGTTTAAATTGCATAACAAGAAGCTTGAATAACATTGGGTGAAGTGAAAGAAACACCCTCTAACTAATGTCCCAGGAAATACATCAGTCACGGCATTGTGAGCTGCACGTTCAAAGTCCAACTAATGTGGGACACTCATTTAAAGGTATCTCTAAAGGACACCACGCTTAATAATTTAAATGTGGGACACTCATTTAAAGGTATCTCTAAAGAACACCACGCTTAATAATTTAAATGTGGGACACTCATATAAAGGTATCGGTAATCGGATTAAGTAATTACCCGCTAGAATAGGTGAAATGCACTCAGCTGAAAATGTGGCTCTACCGGCAATAGCCA